CAGGAAGAAAGAAGCATTTTGACAAAAAGTAGAACAAAACAATTTTAGTTTGTTTTTCACACGCCTGCTTTTTCTCTTTGTTGTCATTTGCAATGTTTGAAGTATTAAACATGTGAATCAATACACTACTGTACACAATTCTTCCACTGATTCCGGTTGCGGGCCATCTCTTCAAGAGTGTTAAGCCACTGGCACTCCTCATCTTTGGGACCCATCCTGGAAGACGTACGGGTCCAACAGCGGATAGACAAGACGTCAGCGACTTCATGTGCTGCCGCCAAGTGGAAGGCTGACCACCACGCGGTCACCTCCAACCAGGTCCTTGACGAGCGAATAGAGCGCGACGCGGTAAACGCTCAGGTGCCATGCGTAGGACGTGACCGAGCCATCTTAACTGGCGCAACAAAACCAATTTGTTGAAGGGAATACTCGCATTCCCCAAAATGCGACTTCGAACGTCATTACTATTAACTCGATGTTGTCATCAAACAAGAGCGATCCTCCTTAAGCAACCGTTATCTAAGGCAAAAAGACGACGCATGTCTTCAACGCGAATCGGCCAGGACTCGCACCCATACAACAATACTGAGCGAACTGATGCGCTGTAAACGCAGTCCTTTAGTGAGAATGAAACGGCGTGACGACGCCACAAGTGCCTCAGATTGACAAATGCTGATCGAGCTTTAGCGAGACGAAGAGATACTTCTTTGCTGATAGTGCTGTCAGCAGAAACACAGCTCCCAAGGTAGACGAAACTATCTACCTGTTCATGTTGTGCACCTTAGAAAGAGCGTAAAAGCAGGTGAAAGCCAATCCTTGAGCAGTGCTTTACACTTCGATGGGGCAAAGCTCATGCCATACTTAGATGATTCAACCGCTAAACGATCCAGAATGAGTTGCATACTCTGAGAATCGTCACCAAGTAAGGCGATATCATCAGCATAATCTAAGTCGGTCGCGCGCTCACTCGGTAGAAGCTCTAAGCCAAAATGTTGGAAACATTCTAGAGCATTCGACAGAACGCCTTCGATTGCGAAGTTGAAGAGGAATGGGGACATAGGGCAGCCCTGTCGCACACTGCTATTGACAGCGAATTGCGAGGAAAGCTTGCCATAGACCCTCACTCTGCCGCAGGTATGAAGGTAAAGTGCTCGTAAGATGGCGGTATATTTCTATGGCACCCCGTTCTTTAGCAAGCAACGCCGAAGACGCGGGTTTGAGCCCGCGTAGCGGCCGGGCGACACCGCAGAATCATTAGCCTAGATGCGACGTAGTTGCGCGGTAGCGAAGCGTCGGTACTGCCTATCACATGAGAAACGTCCAAATGACCACAATGCACATACACAAACGTGGTGGCACATAAGTTCTCCTGTTATTCGAGAACCCTAGTAGGCCACATGTTCCAAATATTTCCGAAAGATCCAATGCGGTTAGCGGGGACTATGCGCCGAACCGAAAAACCTAGAAGGCAGCCACCTGGGACAAAACAAAATCCAACTCAACATCTACGAAACTGAAGCATGTTTTAGCTAAAGTCACACAACTTGAGAAATTGATAACCGTAAAACCGTTTCCATCAAAAACAGAGAAACGGAGAAAAAACAGACCTCCCGTAGCAGGATGTCTGATTAATACAAATGTTCAGAAATCTGACAGCGACTCCAGCTAAAAGGAGCCTTGACAACCAGGCATTTCTCAAACATTCCATTCTATTCGATGAGGGGGAGCCGGGAACCAACATCATCTCAGTCTTCCGCCTGGGTAGAAAGCAGGAAGAGCCTACGGAGTTCCGCCCCCTTAAATTCGTCTGCTTAGACGAAGAAGAATGTCGGCGCATCATCAGGCGCATTTCGCACCTTAAGGGCGAAACATTCTTCGCCCTGAGAAACTTCTGTCCGGAAGAGCGAGTTAAAATGAAACAAGCGGTCAATGAACTACACACATGTCCAACCAGTGGTGAAACTGATCTCCAGATTGTGTATTTTCGTGTAGTGAAGAGAATACCGAGTGCATGCTGGCGGCCAATCGTTCTGCTACCAGCCCGCTGGCGCAGAGGTCCGCGAGTAATACCTGCCAATATGCGAAGCCACAGGAATAAACTTGACGAGATTCCACTTCTCTTCTTTGAACACCATCCAGATCTATCGGCGTTTACAGAGACTTGGCTGTTCTCTGAGGTCTTGGACACATAAATTAGCATATCGGGATATCAACTCTCACGAGCTGATCGTACTGTTGGGAGCACCGGAGGGGGAAGTGATTCACCACTAGTACAATTGCTTTAAAGTTCACATCCTTGTAGCGTTCTCTGATAATAACGCTGCCTCATAAATGCTTTGGTGCCGAATCCATGACAGACATCAAACGCGATTGGAGTTGTCTAAAGAGCCCTTTCGAGCTCAGGCTCTCGTCTCCTGGACTCAATCAAAACCAATGGCAGAGGCAGAAATTGTCTGCTAATAGGTGATTTCAATGCACCCAGTAGCAATCGGATACGTTTTTATTGCGACCTTCCGCAAGATTCCTTCGAGAGAAGGATTCTCGATGCTGTTCAGGAATGCGATCTAATTCAGCACATCCCTACTCCAACGCGGATGATCCATGGCCAGACATCAAACATTTTTGATCTGGTTTGTACTCCGATGCCCACTGATGTCTGTGACTTGGAGGCCATCTAACCACTCGGCAGAAGCGACTACTCAATAGTCTCCTTCATATGGACACGACGTTTTACTATCACTGACCGTGGAGCATACCGCCGTAACTTTTGCCGTACAGATCCATCCAGATCACATGTTGTGGCAAGCTCGGAAGATTGGAGTATCCCGCAGTCCCTGAGTATGGAGGATGCATGGAACCTATTGCTGACCAAGATGAGGTCTATCATAGAAAATGCCGTCCCGATGTACAAAGGCAGACCATTCCTCAAAGGACTCACTGGATCGACCGAGAACCGAGGTCCTTACTGAACAGACGGCGTAAACTCTGGACCGTATTCAAGAGAACACAACTAGCCGCGGATTACTTAAAGTAGAGGTACGAAGTTGTGCACCCTGATAAAGCGACAGAAGCGAGCTGAATACGAACAATACCTGGCTGTTCCATCCCGAACGCGCCCGAAGATGCTTTCCTCATACATAAGGCGAAAAACCAAAGCGGGCGTTTGTATCCCTTCCCTCTATGCCCCTAGAGAAAGCCAAGCTACTGGCCTCGCAGTACCCACGGTAGAGCCACGGTTGTCCACGTGCTCTCCAACCCTGAAGCAAGTTGAAATTAACGTCCATATGGTCATGCGAGTAATCCGAGTTGAACCCTAGCTCTGCAGCAGCACCTGACCGGAGTACACCCACTATACCTCAAGATGTTGGCCGACTACATCGCCGACCTAATGTCACAAGTATCCTGGCTATCAATTGTAGATGGCCGCTTACCTAGCGATCGGGAAGTAGGAACAGTAATGCTTAAATACAATGAAGGTGACCGGCAGGACCCCGCGAACTACCACCCGTTAAGTCTGACGTCTGTTATCTGCAAAATCATAGAGAAAATAATCAAGCGCGCTCTCTACGCTCACTGGGAAGGATTATGCGCAATCTTCCCCTCACAGCATGGAATCCGCGGGGCACGATCCTACATCACTAACCTGCTTGCTGCCAGAGAAATATGGGTTAAAGCAACGGAGAAGAAGAAACACCTTGATGTTGTCTTCAATGACCTCAGCAAGGCATTTGACAAAGTGCCACATAAAAGGCTTCTGCTCAAACTTAGGGGAGTTGGTGTCACCGGAAACCACTTGTCCTAGATTTCAGACCTCCTGGAAGAACGAATCATTCAAGTGAAGGTGAACCAAACACTTTCTGTCCCTGTGCTTATTACCAGTTGTGTTCCCCAAGACTCCGTCCTTGGACCATAGCTCTGTTAACTGTACATCAACGATCTCCCAGCGGCACTACAAACCGACTGTATAGTCTAGGCTGGTGACCTCAAGCTGTGATTTGAAATATCTTGCCCCGAGGATGCCGACATACTCCAATCTTCGCTTGACCAGCTGCATAACTGGTCCGTTGTGTAGCGACTCCCGATAAACGGTGACAAATGTGCCGTTCTCTCGATTGGTGGCCCAGATCCTTTAGGTGCGTATCATATCGGAGGATATCTCCTCAAGTCTGTCACAAATGAGAACGACGTGGGAGTCATCGTCTCGTACGATCTCAAGACATCACTTGACATGCAGAAGGTCGCGGCAGCCAACCGAATGCTCTGGGCTTTGCGAAGATCATCCTGTAACATTACACCGGACATCTTTACAGCACTGTTCGCTTCGCATGTCTGTCCTATACTAGAATATGGTCTCCCGGCCGCTTACCCCCTAACGAAATCTGAACATGATCTGATAGAGGTGCAGATGTCCGGTTCAAAATCAATATAGGAGCTTCGGGATCTTCCCTACATTCTTCGACCTAAAACTGAGCCTGTTCTCCATGGACTATTGCCGTGGTCGCGATCTCTACACCAGACGCATCCTAAGGGGAGAGCTCGGAAGTGAGCTGCAGTTCTTGTGTGGGCAGCTCGAGAAATGCCCACAAATGGAAATCATTTAAGCCGAGGACACATCGCGCCCGTGCGCAAGCTGCCCTCTTCCAGTGGTAAATGATTGGAACAGTGCCGAAACACAGCAGTGACTCGCAGAGGGAGGAAAGTTTCAAGCTATTGCTAGACAACCATCCAACGCACATGGCAGAATCCTGCTACTTTTACTTCAAAAGTGATGATCTCCGAAGTAGTAACGTTTCACGACAGCAAGCAACCACCTTGTGATGATTCGGGACCGATGGAGCCGACAAGGGATCGCCTTCCTGCTCACAATATTGCAATGTAATGTACTGTAGTGTTTAGCTGAGCAAACTGGAAATCCGATGCGACCATCCAGAGTAACTAACATCAAGACTAAGAAACATCAATGTAGGCACATCGTTTGAGTACGGAAGGAGACGGGATATAGGTGCACCAAACTTTATATACTGAGTTATTTGTTTAACAAAATGCCGTCGAATTTGCTTTGGAACCACTTCATTGCTTCTTCTTTGCTAATGTGATGGGATGGTCCGATACGGTTCTTACATCGGCGACTGAAGAAAACTTAGAACATACGGAATAAACTCACCGGTTGCTAACACGCATTCCTGGTCTCCCAAGAATAACATAAAAATCCATACCATAAATACCGATGGCCGGGTCATACTTAATGCCCAGATCGATGTGCTCCGTCAAGCCAAACCCAAAGTTCCCTCGAGAACTGAAGCATGACTTCGGCAACTCGTATTCCTTAACCTTGAGGCCTTTTTCGAGAATTTCTAAGGCAATGTATGCATGAAGCAACAACTAACCTTCTGCTTTTGGTCCTCTCACAGTGCAATGCACAGCAATCTTTTCGTTCCTTCGGATAGCGAACGTGCGGATTGTAAGCCTAGCCTTACTGAAAACTGGCTGCTGTCCGGTTAGTTGTTCTAGCACCTTAGCAGCCCGCGTGAGTCTATCACCACTTTCACCGACACATATGTTCAGGCACAACTTTTGGATCTTTATTTCTCTCATTGGATTAGCTGACTTTTCTTTCTTCACCTTAACTACCATGATCAAGCAACACAAGGACGACGGACACGCGACAAACCAGACGGAGTTAGGGGGTGCAGTATTCACAGTCAAGTTCAAGTTCAGTTGGGACCGGAAAGATAGGATAATCCTGTGAAGGTTGCTTCGTTTGCGTATCGTTGGATCGGGATTGATAGTTGTGCGTAAGATGTTAAAAAGCCTACAACAGAGATTTTATCACATCCTGTCCAACCAGTTACTGCCCACATTTTCATGCCCAGCAGTCCCTGTCAGGCCGGTTTATGTCAGAATCATCAGAATCAATTTATTAGGAGAATAAGATAGGAATCTATGTGATCTCCATCATAAGTAAAGCAAAAATGACCCATGTCGTATATGGGTCTGTGTGAATGCACATCAATAATCATTTAGTAATAAGCAAACAAAATACCGATATATAAGCACAAGGAAAGCACTATGTGTCTTGGTATTTTAGGGTTGCTGGTGTAGCCGTGACATAACCGCGCGACGAAAGGAGATCAAACGTGGCGTCTGCATGGAAACACAAGTCTGAAAATGTTTGTCAATGCTTCGTTCGAAACACTGCACTGAATCAGAAAGAACAGCGGAACTGGGCAACCAGTTCCAGAAATGTACCACACGTCGCGCGAAACAATGCATATAAGTGACATTGTCCATACTTGGAACTTCCAGCTTGTAAGAATGCCCTCGGGGGATAGGTGCATCCACAAAACAGAACATATGTCTCAGTTGAGGGAAATGTCTCAGGTGAAGGATTCTAAACGTTTTAATGAGGTCAATTCGTCATCTCCTGTATACTAGTGTATGGAGACGTAAATCGTGGCTACTCTGGTGGTAAGATAAGCCTTGGAGCGTGGGGATCAGGCGGGTGACTAGGTGCTGGACTTTTTCCAGTTTTCTCATCTCACTTTTTGTACTGGGATAATAGGCCGGTGAACCGTATTCTAAAAGCGGGCGCACCAATGAGACGTATAGCCTGACAGCAGTTTCCTCTGACCAAACGTGGAAGGTCCGCTTTAATGACCAATACATGCGAAGGCTGGAACAGTGGACCTTGTGCGTATTGTCTGACGATTTTAAGTGCCATCGGGATAGTACTCCTAGATCTCTAACGGTCGCAGCCGAGCACGGTAGACGTCCACCGACACTGTAAGTTCTGTCCCGACAGCATTTGCCAATGCGGAGCAATTCGGACTTTTTAGCATTCAGTGGAAGGCAGTTTGTTGACGCCCATGAGGAGATTGTATCGAGATCACTTTGCAGTATATCTCCATCGACGGGGTCGATATTTCCCTCTAAACTTTCAAATCATCTGCGAACAGCGCGCAAGTAGATGTCAAACGTCCTTGTAAGTCGTTGATATGAAACAAAAAGCGTTTGGCCAAGTACTGTGCCCTGTGGCACACCACTAGAGGCAGTACACCATTTCTTTCGGGAGTCATTGACCTGGACGCACCACTGCCGCTTGTCTAGAAAAGACTGAATCCATTTCAGCAATTTTCCACCCACGCCATAACTGTTGAGTTTAGTTAGCAAGATAAAGTGATTCACGCTATCAAATGCTGCTAAAGTCAATCAGAAAGGCATGAACGCTCCTACTCTCATTAATTGCTGCAATCCAACTGTGTCGGGAAGTCAGAGGATTCGCGGTACAAGACCGTCCTCTTAGGAAACCATGTTGAACTGATTTAAGCACACCGTGTGATGCTGCGAACTCAAGCAGCGCCTTCTTGACCACTTTCTCCAGCAATTTGGCCAGCACCATTGTCAGGCGAATCAGTCTGTAGTTCTCTACTCTGTTTCGGTTTTCTCCTTTCGGGAAGGGCCGTACGATCGCTTGCTTCCATTCACTTGGGTCGTTCCCTTGTGTCAAAGAGGCCTCGAACAATTCCGTCACTGCAGGTGCGCTAACAGGAGCCAGCCTTTTGAGAAGTAGTGGATGCAAGCCGTCAGGTCCTGGCGGTTTGGAGCAGTCTAGATTAGCAAGCAATCCCCTTACTTGGTCCTCTGAACAGGATACTGTATCCAGTTTGGCGTCGACTTGGGTACACTGAAATGCTGGAGAAGCTGATTCGAACACTGACTCGAAATGTGAAGCAAGTGCGGTAGCTCGGTCCTTGTCGGCGGTCAACAGTGCACCAAGCGAATTTTCCAACGCAGGTAACTCGTCAGTTGGCTTAAGCTTGCGCTTGATGTATGCAAAAACCTTTTTGGGCGCCTCCTTCGCATTTGCTGATAAGCGTGTTTCATAAGCCGCACGCTTCCGTAGTTTCACTGAATTGCAACAGTTTCTTTGTGTTTTGTAAGCTGCGTAATCTTCGGCGCTATGAGTTTGTTTGAACCTCTTCCACAATTTTGCACGTCGCCTCGACATGACAACATATTCGCTATCCATTCATGGCAGCCTTTTCCAACATTTTATTGGTGTTAAAGGAGCAAACTGGTCTAGCAACTGAACAAGGTTTTGCTACAGCACCTCCCAACACACTTCAACACTGTCATTCAAAGGTAATGGCCAGTCCATGTGTTCCGCAGTACTCATCAACCGATCCCAGTTTGCTTTCCAAATGTTACGACGGGGTATTGGTAATGATACAACAGATTGCAAACGTTGGACGGCTGAAATCGTGGAGTGATCGCTGGACCCAATGGGTTCAAATACTTTAGCGGATTCGACATGTTGCTCATCGTTCGTGAAAAGGAGATCAAGATAGCTTTCAGGTTGCCCCGGAAGCTGCCTTGTTGGTTGCAGGATGTGTTGCACAGTGTGCATCTCCGCCACTGTATCGACAAAAGCGCATTCGAGATTGCTACTGCCAGGTAGAGCTTTATAATGCGGCCAATCAACGTGTGGAAAGTTAAAATCATCAAGCAACAGAAAAGTTCGGCAGTTCAAGCGCTGCTGCACTACGTCGATCCAATCACGGGAAGTGTTTGAAGGACTCCGATAAATGGCTCCCACTCTCAGTTCATTCGGCCCAGCAGTCACTCTGCACCAAAGTTGTTCGCATAGGCCGTCGGCACTATAATGTGTAGATATGGGTCCCCATCTCATGCTGGACTTTATATATAACAATACACCGCCATGAGCGCCCTTGGGTCGTTCGCACCGAAATGTCGTGTATCCATCGATGTGAATTTCAGGATCAGTAGTATCACCGTGGAGCCATTTTTCAGTCAGACAAAATAAATCTGGGCAGTGTTGCTCTACCCAGAGATGTACCTCAGCAAATTTATCGGTGAGGCTGCGAACGTTCGTAAGCGCCACAGTGATACCGGCAACTAGCTTGGGGCGCGCGCCATCAGCAACACCGGCTTGTTTATCAGCTGGCGCTACTGCACTAGTTGAAAATTTACGATATGTATGTTGCTCTCACCTTGTTGAGCTCGCCGTTTAAGTTCAATGGTAGCAGTTTGAAGGCGATTTAGTTCTTCCAAAGTGAGGTCAGAACGCACGTGGATTTTCAGGCCGTTCAGACGCCAAAGTCGGAGAGAAGACGCGCTGGGGTGACGTCATTTTAAAAAACAACGAGGCGTGTTTGCCGTTCGTTTTCCCACGCGTGATACTCGTTTTATATGAATACCTAGCTCATCGGGGTCCAGGAGTATATCAACCAAATTTTGTAAGAACGCAACATCATGCTCATAACAAATCCGCGGGTCGGAACTCTCTGAATCGGGGGCATGAAAGATAATCAGACAATGGTTACCAGGATGGATCAGACCAGTTCCGGACAAAACGGAAGGCCGTGTAACGGCGCTCGGAGTCAAAACTGGAGGTCTCTTTCCCGCAACCATCCACGGTGACTCGTTTCTGGTTCCATGATCGGCGACTGTAGCAGGAGGTGGCTCATCAGAGATCCGTAGTGCTTGCTCCGGTTTACCAGTTGATAAAATCCCGCTGCATGGAGGAACTGTGGGCAACGTCTTCAGGTTGTCGGGAGGACAGGTGCGACACAGGTCCTCTACTTGGTTGGTCGTATTCTTTGGATGTTCGCCGGGGGATACCGCTCTGCACTTCCTGGCTCTTCTAGCAGTAGACACGGATGAGCATCTCTCAAGATTCTGAAGCGGCGGTCGTCTTGCAAGTGCAGCTGCATCAACGCAATACCGACAGACCCATAACAGGCCTTTGCGTTCAGCGTAGATCTTAAAAATGGAATCCGTAAGTTGCGGACAACGCTTGTGACCACAGGCCCAGGATTTACAAGCGATACACTGAATGCCATGAGTAACCAGTTTTGAGCAGTGTAAACAGAGTGAGTTGCGCATGACGAAATCCGAAGCGATAGCTAACCTTGAATCAATGGCTGTAGAAACAACGGAAGTCAGCATGTACTACCCAGATATACGATCCCTCACGATAAATTGAAAGCAAATGCTCACGACCCGAGCACTAAGAAAGGACGACACTATCCGCAGTTCAAGCGATTTCAGTGAAGCAAAAGAGTGACGGGTGAGCTAAGAAAACAAGGGTTGAAATGTCAGCAAATAATGATAATACCAAGGAGTAAGAAGAAACTTATTCCTTGGTTGGTTGGGAGCAGAAGGAATTTTCTCGGTCAGCTCCGTCATTTCGATCGTTCATGATTCATTGGATGGTAAAGCGCAGAAGGACGTTCCGTTGTCAACTCCGTCACTACCCGATCCTTGCAGTTGCTGGGATCATTGCGAAACAAGGCTCCACAGAAGACCGCTGTGGCTGTATTGTGCGCAACAAAATCCTGCGCATTCAGAGAGTGGGAATCCAACAGTCGTTTGCAACATACCTCTGTCTCCGCATCGACGACAGCCTCCGGCAACTTGTTCCTGTCACTCAACACCCGGGGGGCTACGGCCATATCTGACCCCACACGGAGTCGCCGCGTTTTGAAAAGTCTCCACTGATAGCCTCGAGTTGCACACTTTGTGTTGAGACGAAAGAACGATTGCAGCTCACTCCCCAGCGCACCTCGTATAATACGCCGAGTGAAGATCATATCTCCGCGGCGACGACGGTAAGCCAAAAGGAACAGCTTCAACCGTTGAAGCCGTAGGGGTTAAGATAAGTCGCGCAACTGGAACGGATATGGGCCCATGATCATGTCACGTTCTCAGTTGGGGAGGGGATACTGTCAGGAAGCTGATTCGACTGGGGAACGGCCCAGTTAA